TGATGCGGAACGAAAAAAATTGTGATTTCAAAAATTGGACTTTGCCTAAAACCTTAGTTGTTTCTTTACTAAAATAAGAGTAAAAAAATGAGATTATCAATTTTCCCAAAGAGGTAACATTTTTCTTATCCAAAATTAAGGATTCGCCGCTTCTGCAGGACCATTATTGCAACCAGTTCTTTCATTTGAACTTTTCATCTCAAATTTGATTGAGAAAATTTGAAAAAAAAAAGTTTCTAAAAAACAGTCAAAGTTCTTAAAAACAGTCAAAAGGATTTCCAAAAACCATAATTTTTTTCTGCAAAAATCAAGTAGTGGCCACTTAAGCAGAGAAATTCCCAAAACCGGGTTTCACGATTAAACACAATCTAAAAATTGGCACGGTAGTTTTCGCGTAAGTCGAAAAGATTCCAAAAAACACTCAACGTTTCAAAACTTCGACTTGTTTGAAGGCGCAAACTTTTTTCAACAAACTGGGCATAGCTATTTATAAAGGTAGACTTTCAACAACCTGTTGTTTCAATTAAACCAATGATATCAGATTCGGCAGGATAGTTGGCGAGAAAAGTAAAAAAGAACGGTCAACAAATCAAAAAATTGACATTTCCGAGAATCATAGCTTTTTCAGTGAAAAAATAGGGCGTAGCCGCTTATGCAGAGGATATTCACCCAACCAGCAATTACGATTGAACCCAAAATCTCAAATTTAAGAGGGTAGTTCTCGAGAAAAGTAGAAAAAAAATTTAAAAAAACGGTCAAAAAATCAAAAAATTTACAATTCGAAGGGCGATAATTTTTTCCGGGAGTATGCAGGCACACATTGGAGTAGGCGGGTTTCAATTGATACCGCTTTTTGAAAACCAGAATAACTTTCGGAGAAAAATTTTTAAAATTTCTATTAAATTTGGAAATAAAGCTCTACGACGAAAAAAAATCAACAAACCGATTTGTAAATTTACAACCAAACTTAAAAAAGCGGAAGGGAGTCTTTAAGTTGTGTTTCTCTTGAAACGACACAAGATTAGGTCGTTAAGGCGATAAAAAAATAGGCTGAAAATTTTTGGGCTGAGGAAGTTTTTTTAGCGAAACAAAAAAAACTTCTAGCAAGACCAATACCTATCTCGTTTAGCGCCTTTCTCATTCTCTTTTAGAAAGTTTGAGCCCCCTACCATGTCAAAGTACCTGACGAAGGGTGCTCATCAGTAAAATTTACGTTCCTTATGCAGGACAACAACGGGCTGATTTACTCTTGAGTTTAACATCAGTGCTAATATAAATCGACGATGACCTCCTGAAAGGACTGCACTTGTCACTGAATTTTAATCTTACGCTTTTGTCATAGACTGTCATTGTACTTTACTTCAACTGCTTCAGATGATCAGTGCATTCGAAAGCGTGACAAGATGGCTACCAATTTATCCGGCAAGCCAAAACTCAAACCAGGAAAGCTTTGTCTACATCCAGGGTTGTACGTACAGGCGACCCTCAAGGCTCTGTGATCTCACCCACTCTTTCAATTTCTACGAGCATGACACAATAAAATGTGCCTTGAGAAACAAAAATTCAGTCCTATGCCGATAAATTCCAATTCTTCGTCGAGCTCTTTGACATGAAAAACGCCTCCAACACTGAGCAGCTATCTCAAATTATAACATGATTTTTTCATCAGTAGACGACTGTCTTCAAACAAAGGTTCAATCAACCTCTTCGAATAACAATAGAGAATCTAACACTGACCCCAAAATAACAATGTGTGACACCACATAAAAGCATCTTGAAAATGCTTGGTGTCTCTTTGGACTCATACCTAAGCTTCCTTGAACACTGCATGCCTCCAACTCTTGCTAAAAATCAATTCTTGACTACACCTGATCAGCCTGAACCACCCATGCAGACAGCAATAAATCGATTACAAGCATGCAAATAGCGCAAAATGAAGCACTCTGAATACTTAGCGAGTGCACTTAAGCGAGAGCAGCTGCAAGGAATGTTAGAAATCATCATAAGCTGATTTCGATTACGTCTCAAATGGCATAATTCCCAAATGGCATAAAAATGAAAAAATTCCCAAATGGCATAAATTTCATGCAACAGTTGCTTTGGAAAAATCGAGAACAATTTTTTCGTGAACAATGTGAGAAAATTAGTCAAATTGTCAATTCAAATGTTGATTGACATTTTATCGTTAAAAACTTTATCAAAGCAAGAAGCATAAGCTTGCGATTATTAATAAGCTTCATGTGGTCAATTTTTTTCGACAAATCTGTTGCTTAAATTTGTTTGGAAGCAATTAATTCCAAATCTTGTTCACATGCTTTCGTTCCTGACAAAATGATAGAAATAGAAATTGATAGAAAACGTTTAAATTACAATGAAAACTTGAAATTTATGCCATTTGGGAAAAGTTTCCATTTTTATGCCATTTGGGAATTATGCCATTTGGGAAGTTACCCTGATTTCATCTCAGCTCACAATCCAAACTTACGCAACTTCAATCACTTTCTAATTTTACCAGTATCACCAGCCGCTATCCCAAGCACTACATTGTAAAGTGTAACTCTACAACCGATTTCAATTAGCTTAGTTTTGTCGTAAGCCAGAATTTCAAAACCTTTCTAAGCCACATTCAAACTTCATAGAGTTCAAGAACCCATTGATGAGGCGCCCCCACTAAAAATTATCTCACTTAAACCCCACACGTGTCAGAGTAAGAATTGACAACACTCTCTCACTCAACTAAGCGCATCCTTGCCCATTTAATATTCGGCTTCAGTCGCTGTTTTAATGCCGTTTTAATAACGTCTCCCCTAACAGCCCTCACTGCACAGCACCAGACACACCACATCATCTATTTAACTGTTCTTAAACCCATTTTTTGTAATCTCAACAGACCTCCAGCTCAGCTCGACGAAGGCTTAAATATCGGACTAACAACAACAAGAACCATAACAACAATCTATCAAAAAACGTTCCTTCGCATCACGGGCAAACACATTCAAAATTTGAAGAAAAAAAAACACACATTTTCAAAACCAATTCATTGAGCCTCTACTGCCAAAACAACAAGAGCAAAGCAAAGGTTGCACTTTGTTTACAGTTGCACAATAAGTAAAAACAAAGAATGAGCTCAAGCGTTAACGTCTCTCTTAACGCTTGTATGGAAATATGAAGTATAATTTAAAAAAAGTATAATAACTATAATTAAAAAAATTTTGGTTGAGCCTAAAAAACCAAATTTTTAGAGGTTACGTCAACCAGCTCAACCCATTCTGTTCAGCCTCAAAGTCTCAATTTATAACAGCAAATTACGCGAAAGTTTGAGAATTGCCTTTAAAAAAAACGGCGCAAAAACTACTAAGTAAAGAAGTCTTTAAGCTCTTCAAGTTTCTTTTATATTTCCATTAGCATAGTTTTTTCTTGGGATCCTCCTCCTCCTCGCAATACAAATCCATCTTGATAAACACCACCCCTAATATATTGCCCAATCCACACTTAAGTGGGAGAAATCCGAAGCAACCACGGCGAAATTCATAGACATCTATTAAAAAAGGATCTCCCGAACCAAAAAATATGGAACGCAAATAAGTTCAGTTTGCATTAAAATTTAACACAGGCGGAGCTGAGCTTCGCACCACTTGCGATACATATATGAATGAATATGATTAAAATCAAGCGGAAAAAATTTCAAAAAATCGTTGTCAAAAAAAAATTGCAAAAGCGCAAAATGTCCGGAACGAAATTGCCTGCATCAATAGAAATTTTACAACGAGCCTTTCAAATGCTAGAAAGAATCGATTTTTCAAAAAAGCGGAACTAAGCCAACAAAAATAAGTAGACCGACAATAATCTAAATAAGCCGAAAACTTTCTACTTGCGAAAAAAACAGGTCGCGACTGGAATCAAAATCGCGGCTTTGTCTTCTCAAGCAAGTTGGAAGAAAACTGAACCTTCGAAAAAAGTCGGGCTACGGGAACTAAGACGACAAAATTAATCAGACAAACGATAACCCAAAAAAGCACAAAAACTATTTAGCCAAAAATTGTCTATTTGCAAAAAAAAACAGGTCCCCGCCGGATTTGAACCACAGCCCTTTGCGTTATCAAACAGTTGTGTTACTTCTCCGCCAGATGCGCGGGATTGTTGATTGAATGTATAATTACCAAGCGGTAACAAATCAGAAAATACCTGAGCAGGAACTCTCTGTTAATTTTAGATAGCCGTTAAGTACTGTAGAGTATCAATTTCTCTCCTTCATGTTTCAAGGCAAAGCAGATAGTTGACAGTAAATTCCATTTTATGTAGAAGTTTCTAGATGCATTACTTAGGACCCTGTTTCCGTCCAAGCTTTGTAGCGGCGAGTTTAACAAAATTATGAACCAATTTTTCGAAATCCGCAACCTCGGAAGACATAATTTAGGATACTAACTTTATTTTGTCATGTTTATGGATATATACTAGTCACGAGTTGACTTACTTTGCTTTGAACATTTGTAATGCATCAAACCAATAAAAACCAACCATCAAACTCATTACCCGATGAATTGCAGAGATCAATAAGAGAAACCTTGCTGGTCTGGTGAGTTGTCTACTGAACTGCAGAGCTCAATTAGAGAACTCTGTGGTTTCTGGTGTAGCAAAAATTACCAGAGAGCAAGCTACTTATCAGCAATTTAGTCTCGACAGAGAAATTTAACGAAGCAGTTAAAGAAATTTAACAGTTTCAGCAACTTCAACTATGATTTCAAGAACTGCATTTCATTGACATAAAAAGAGATAATTTCGACCAAATTCTCGATAGGTCAACGAGCACTAGTTATCTTTGAATCTGGCAGCCTTTAAAGCACACGTTATTGAGCTCTTTTTACTTGTGTGAGCGTGTTGTTCCAAATTACACCTCAAGTATGCCTTTGCACTTTTAAACTGAATCTGTATTTTTATACGTTACCTGGTTTGTTTACTATTCAGTGTAATCTTACCATTCGAAAGTTAAACCACTTTCACTTTAATGTACGATAATTACAAACGCACGTTGTCTCATCTCGCCCACGTGTGATACAAATCGTAAATAAATGTCATTTTCTTTGGCCAAATTTTGTACAAACTATTATTTCTCAAGTAATCAATGCATGTTAATTTAACACGGCCAGGTCTTGCATAAAACGAGAAAACGATTCAAGCAAGCAAGAGCATTTAAAATTTTTAATATGCAGTTTGATTGGAAATTCTTTCATCATTTTGGCTTCGACCCAATGTATTACCTCCCCTGCAATTAAGCTCATAAAGCATTGTTCATTTTTGGCTTTTTAAAATAAGTCTAACTCAGTTTTCTTTCTCAATTTGCCGCACCATGGCTTTTAATATAAGCACGGCATCATTCGTACTTTTGAGCCTTTTTCTGGCTTTATGCATTTCAAACATCAATTCAGTCAACGCCTTTGAAGAATCTAACTCTACCACGAGCGAACCCGAAGTTTCCACCAGCAAACCCGACGTTTCCACGAGCAAACCCGACGTTTCCACGAGCGAACCCGACGTTTCCACGATCGAGCCCGATGTTTCCACGATCGAACCCGACGTTTCCACGATCGAACCCAAGCCCAACAACACAGATGAACTCGATCACTGTGAAAGCTACATCTTTCCCTGCTCTGACAAAATTGTGGGAAATGTCATCATGATCCTTTTCTACGGAGCCATTCTTGGTTTCGCTGCCAAATTGATCTCTGATGGAGCCGAAATGCTGTTGGATCTGGACCTCCAGCCAGCTATCATCGGAGGAGTGGTGCTGCCAGTCATGGGTGCCATTCCCGATTCTGTCATGATCATTTTCTCCGGAATCGGTGACCCAAAACTGGCTCAAGATCAGATTTCGGTCGGCATGGGAACCCTAGCTGGAAGCACAATTCTTCTGCTGACAATCGCTTGGGGAGTTTCTCTCATCGTTGGGCGGTCTGACATGGTCACCGACTTTAATGGCAAAACTTCAGTACAAGCAGGGCAGTGCACTGGGTTTTCTTTCACGCGTCAAGGTGTTCAACCAAGCAAACAAGTCATGTATGTTGCTATTGGTATGATGGGAACTGCTATACCATACCTCATCGTGCAAGGCAGTGACTGGGAATTTGGAGCAAGAAAAGTCAAGGTGATCCAGCCTGAATACGTTCAGACTGCAGCACTGGTGACCATGATCATCTGTTTCATTGGCTTCTTTGCATATCTGGCTTCCCAAGTTTGGGCATCGATGAATGTCGATGATTCACGAGTGCAAGTGCTTTTGAAAATAAGGCGACGAAGAATGATGGCAGTTGCTGCACACAACTTCATCAATTTTGGCACCGGGTACGTAAAAATTTTTACAAACGCGAAGCGGAGCTTCACGTCACTTGCCATGCTACACAAATATAGCAAGCTAAAAAATCTTTAAAAACTGTCTTAAATTAGGCAGCTGAGAAAAACACGCTCAGAAACACAAACAGGGCAACTCTATCTATACTTTTACGCTACGCCCACATCACCCTCCAAAAATACACGATGTTTAAAATTTACTTTTCACTTCACACGACACAAAATTAGGTCACTAAGCCGAAACAATTGAGTCAAACAGAGCTAACCAAAAAATACAAAAAAAAATCAGATTCAGTACTTACAAATAAAATAAAAACACTTTCAATTACAAGGAAAATTGCTTGCAGCACAAAAACTATCCGTGATTTGGTATCCAAGCCGACAAAACATACGAAGACAAACAATAGTTCGACAGCTTTTTAGAACTGAACACTTCCCGTTTGAAAAAACGGGTCCTAGTCAGATTCGAAACTGGGTGTATTCGTTGCCCCATTTCCCACTTGCAATACAACACTTACATGATTGAGACACCATGACGCTGAAGAAGTAGAAGTAGTAAAGATGACTTCGAGCGAAGAAAACACTGAAATTAAAAACAAAAATTGTTTAAAAAAAAATTTCAAGAGTGCTTGTAGGGTTGATTTTGAGCATTCAAATAAATATATCCAGAGTCTTATCGATCCTACAAACCAACTCGAAAATTTGTGTCAGAAGTAAGAAAAAAATGAACCGAAATCTACTTCCACGAGTGTCCAAAATAGTGTCCACGAGTGCTTCATATGTAGTGACTGCAAGGTGGTATACCCCATTCGGAAACTAACCGAGTTTAAGTCGACAACAATTAAACAAAAAAACTGCAATGCAACACAAACAAAGAACAACAAACTTTTAGACCGAGATTGAGACGACCGCCGCTACGTTAAATGAAAAATTTTGATAGTATCGAGAAAAGCAAGATCTACCAACATTACCATATCTTTGTATCAATTTGCTTGGAACAAAAATTACTTTTAAAAAGCATGCCAAACAAGAAAACGTTCAATTTGCATCGAAACGTAACTTACGTAACGGTAACAAGCCGACTATGCTAATTGCGAGTCATTAATTGACGAAGCAAAAAGTTTTAAAATTTTAAGCAAAACTTTTTGATAACTTTTTATTGAAAATTTTTCAAAAGAAGCAGTAATTTTTCATGGAAAATTAGTTACATTAATAACATTCACAAACTTAAGAGAAATCTAAAACTTCAAAAAGAGTCTGTGCAACGGGAACTAAGCCGAAAAAAAAATTAGACGGACGATAGCGCAAAACAGCAGAAAACTTCTAGTTTTTGAAGAAAAAAAAACAGGTACGGATTCAAACAACAAACCTTTGTCATGTCAAGCATATAAGTTACCTCAACGCCATGTCCACTGGATAAGTGACTGAATTTGAAATTATTTTATAAGGGACTTGAAAAGCCGAAAATCGATTTTTTCAAAATTCAAAATATTTTTATTTTATTACGGTGGGGTGGGCTTTAAGAGAGTGATTTGCATTTTTCTAAACTTTCTCGTTTAACTACAATCATTAAAATTTCAAAAAAAAATTAAAAGAACAAAAGTATCAGGAAAATAATCCGACATAATTAAAGCCGACCGAACTCAGTGCCGAAAAACTATCAAAACACTTTATCAAATCCGATAAAAAATTAAATTGAGTATAAAATTCACTGATTACCATTAGACCAATCTGTGAACCATTTATTTACGGGAAAAAAGCATGGCTAATCAGGTTATCAGGTTATATAACCAGGCTATTATTGCAAAGGTAATCAGGCTATCAATGGATTTTGTCAAGCAAGCTGTTAACCCAACAAAGTCTATATTCACATTAGATAACTCTTGCTAGTCGCAAGCGTATTAATTTCGATGATCGCAATTTAAAATATCTTGAGAGTGCGTGAACATTTACAGTTCTTTAATAATTATCAACATCTATCTCTTGCTGATTCTCTTCCACTTATCTTCCCATGTTAATACAAAACAAAAATTACAGCCCATAAAAATCAATTTCAGCAATGATTCATCTTTCAAAAATCAATTATTTAAAACAAAATATCGATCGTACAACTCATTTATTAGCTGAAAAATGTTTTTGAATCTATTTAGAATCCGAGAAGACCCAATGTTCCGAACAGTCGACTCCGAAGATATCCGCGTTCGTCGTGTAGCTCGCAACTTGGGAAGATTGTGGAGAATGAAAGCTCGCGCCTCTTCCCAAGCAAAGGGAATAAACCTCAGCTCTAACGTTGACGACACCACTCCACTAATTCCAGCTGAACACGCCGAAGAGGAACCGAAATGGACAATTGCACTAAAATCGGCCGCTCACTTGATTGGCGGAGTTGGTTTGGTGACATTTTTCTCGGATCCCATGTGCGACACTTTGACTGCTCTCACGAACACTGATTACGAAGAACACATTCCAATTAGTGCCTTCTACGTTTCTTTTGTAGTCACCCCTCTCTGCTCGAACGCTTCAGAGCTTGTTAGTTCCATCTTGATGGCCATGCAGAAGGACAGAGACAAGATCAACATGACCTATGCTCAGATCTATGGCGCGTGCATCATGAACAATACATTGTGTTTGGGCGTCTTCTGTGCATTAGTGTACTTCCAGGGACTGGAATGGTACTTCTCGGCGGAGGTCACAGTCATCTTGCTGTTTGAGATTGCGTTCGGAATTATCGCTGTTTTCTTCAACACAGTTTATTCCGTCTGCCCAATCTTCCTCGGCATCTTCGCTATTGCATTGTACCCTGTCTCTATGGGAATGGTAGCATTCATGCAGAACGTACTGCACTGGGGTTAAGAACTCAGTGCTGTATAATTCTAGGAAAAATCTGAAATCACAAGACTACTCAATGTAAATAGCAGCTCAAACTATTTAGTACAAGACTAGAATACATTTCATTGAATGTACATAGAATGCTTTTACGTACGGATTTAACCATTAAATTTCAAACTTGCAAACTAACATTCGCTCGGAAAGAACATAATGACGGGAAATAATATTATCCTAACGATTGGCTAGTGTCCAATTTAGATCTTATAGGTATCTATCTGACAATGTGTAGTATTTGGGCGAATGTTTTTCACTGTAACATTCGCCCAAATACTACACAGTAAAAAAAGACAAGAAAGCTATCCAGAATCTATAAACTACAAAAAGAACTAAGATAAGCTTCGCGCTCCTGAGGAGCTCTATACTTTGTATAAGGGGGTGCAGATCGCTACGCAAAGTTCAATTTATCGACAACTCCATAAGCGCTATTGTAGAGGAAGGACGGCTAAGATAAATTAACATTACGACGATGCATTTAATGCTGATTTATGACTTCATTGCTGATATATATGCATTTTTATATCACTGGTATGGCCCTATCCAGCTTGTGCACTTACCGTAACTAAACGGAAGGGCCCCTTTAATACTACACAGTGACGGAGCGTAGAAAAAGTACCTATTAACGACTGGCAGGCGTCAGTTACCTTAATTCTACTCGTTTTTCACCGTCTCCACCTTGCCAGTTGCTTTTCTGGTCTGTTTAGGGCTAAGAGTTACTATTTTTAGGCCATCAGTCAAAAGACTTTTGATCAGCTTTCGTTTACATGCGAACACAACCACATAGCTGGGTCTCGGATCCTCAGACTACGTGATTGCTATTTGTGCCATTCTGCCAGATTGGCACAGCGCAACCTTCCGGCGGGACAGAAAAAGACGACTAAAGGCCTTAGTAACAAAAAAATGCTGCAAAGGGGGGTCGAATTATTCTGGAAGTTTAAATTTTTTAAATTTCGATTGACGGGCAAGTATTCCTCAGAAATACAAAAAGACAGCCATTCTGACGAAAAGGAACGAAAAAACAGAACAACGACAAATATAGTGAAAAACAGTCGCACGAGAAAACGAGAAATCGAAGCCTCTTATCGTGGCAAGCACACACGATAGGACCGATAGCAGAGAGAAACAGTGAGAAAGGAGGCTTCAGTGGGGAAGGAATTGTAACATTCGCCCGGAAGAAACATATCGACGGAAAATAAAACTAAGTCCTAAGACGACTGGCTAACGTCTAAACAGAGCTTTACATGCTTTTCACCGTCTCTACCAAGCCAGTACTTTCGGTGGTATTTCTAACATCGGGTTGACTAAAAAACTTTACTGCTTTCGGCTTCGGTCAAAACACTCAAATTAACTTTATTACATGCAGAAATAGTGAGCTCATGGCTGGGTCTCAGTATCCCCAGACCACGAGGTCACTCCTAAAAACAGGGCTACTACTATTTATTGAATTATTATTGTTTTTGTTCAGTAGATATGTGCCATTCTGCCAGATAGGCACAGCGCAACCTTCCGGCGACACGCTAAAAAAAAAAACGAATACAGGCCTTATTAACGAAGAATTATTGCGAAGGAGGGTAGGAATAATCTAGAATTTTTATTTTTAAAACTTCGATCGAAGAGTGAATATTTCTCAGAAATACAAAAAGACGGCCATTTTGACGAAAAAGGACGAAAAAACAGAACAACGACAAATGTTGTGGAAAACGGTCGCACAAGAGACGAAAAACACGAAGCCTCTTATCGTGGCAACAATACACGATAGGAGTCTTAGCAAGGGATATTAGTGGAGAAGGAAGCTTCAGTGGGGAAGGAATATTCCACGGAACCCTCCCGTGCCACAAATTGGAAGAGATACGAGCGTTGTCTCAGGAAGATTATGGGAGCGGAGGCTTGGTCCCCCAGAGACTGTTTTATGTGAAGGGACTATATAAAACTGACTTTGTAGCTACTTGGATGCCGTAGAAGTCTGAATTAACACCGGTATAATTTGATATTTTAGAATATGAGTAGCTAGAAAGAGGAAAGGGTCAATCCATCTCCAATGGATTTAATATAGAACTGTCACACAAAAACATATTAAAATAGGTTGTTCGAACCGTGTTTTTAATAGCAATCACTTAGTCTGAGGATCCGAGACTCAGCTATGTTGATGTGTTCGCATGTAAAAGAAAGCTGATCAAAGTCGTTTGACTGATGGCCTAAAAATAGTAACTTTTTACTTAGCCCTAAACAGACCAGAAAATCAACTGGCAAGGTCGAGACGGTGAAAAACGAGTAGGATTAAGGTAACTGACGCCTGCCAGTCGTTAATAGGTACTTTTTCTACGCTCCGTCGCTGTGTAGTATTTGGGCGAATGTTACATAGATGTTTTTATGGCGCTCCTGGGTGGGCCTGTTAAAGGCATGAGACCATCATGATCAGCAAGCGTTTCAGCGACGAACCCTCCGCTCCGGGCGTATGCCCGAGTTAGAGGCCTTAATGACCGTTATTGTACTAGGGGGAAGGTGCGTACCCTCCGTCTAGTACTATTTAGCTTTTTAACTTAGTTAACAGCGAAAATTCAGGGGGTCGGAGGGTTAGGTGGGAAATCTAGAGCCCGCTTGTCCCGAGGTCCCAGGACCAAAAACAATTAAAGAGAAAGCTTAAAACCAAACAAAAATAGTGTATAACCAAGAAAAAGCAAAAAATAAATTTATTTGAAAACAAAAAAGTACAAAAAACAGTACAAACTCCAAAAAAAGACCAAAAACAGTAAAAAACATAAAGTGACAGTTTATATGTTATTTCCGGACGAGATGTGATCTGACCTTCCTTTTTGTTGTAGTTTCAGATTGATTTATATCATTTCTGATAGAAAGATTGTGTGTTTTGGTGAAGGGTTGGATACCCTCCCTTGAGTGTAATTTGAGTATTTAAGCACGTTGATGGTGATTTTGCCGGTGACCGGAGTGTAGAGTGGCAAGCTGACCGACGTGTTCCACACTCAACAGGGACATAGGTACAACATCCAAAACGACTGTTGGGTATCGTTGAAACAATTTTGGTATCATTCGGGTACTATTTCATCAAAACATAAGTGGTGGGGGGGACGATTGGCGCGGTCCAATTGCACCCTCCATCGATTTCAAATTTCCGAGTTAAGGGTCTTAATTCGGGTATTTTGGTGCAAAGGAGGGTATAGTACTATTCATTAACGACTACTAATAGGTTAATATCCTTATTATATATTACTTATCTCCTATTTAGACCCAAGAAACACCAAAATTTTGTCGAAAATTATCGATTTTTGACAAACTATAGACCCCCAAATTCTTGGATATCCGAGCTTTTCCGAACAGCAAAAAGCTTTTATATAGGGAGTAGCTACGTAGTTCAATCCCCATAACTAAAGAAGCTGCGTGAGAAAAGACTCAGTAAAAGTTGGAAAAAACCAAAATTTTTCGGTCAAAATTTCGATAATTTTCTGAATTTTGTCAATCTGTTTTGGGGATCGAGTTTTTGAGTTTTTAGAGTTAGAGCAATAAAATTTTTTGTATTAGGAGCCTGCTAGCATAACGTGCCCGGCCGCAGAAAAGTTCTTGAGTAACCCTCCGATTAGCTCCGTGGATAGAGCTAACGACTTAAGGATCGGAAAAGGAAGGAATCGGAGGGTCCAAATTTGATAGTTATTGGCCAAATTTTGGTCTCCAAACCACGTTTGGTCCAATTTTTTGCATTATTCCAGTGCCGTACAGGGCTACTACGCTCGTTTCAATTATTTTTAGGCACTTTCAATAGGAATTGCGGAAAAAGATTCTCAGAACCTATATAGGTGGTGAAAAAAGGCCATTTGGACAAACACGTTTTTGACAATTTCTCAAAGACTAGCCAACCAATCGGGATAGTTTTGGTACCATAAGTCGACGTTTTGGACCACTTTTCCGGACCGCAGCCGTTTTTGGGTTGATAATTTCGGAAAAGAAAATTTTTTTAGAATTTGTTGGTTCGGAGGGTCCAAATTACAGGTAACCCTCCGAGCGGCAGAAAATTTTATCAAAACACCTTTTTATCCTACTGCGAAGGTTGACCGTGTCAGCCAACCTAGTTTTAAGTCAGGTAGACCGCTTTTGGAGACTTTCTCGCGGTAACATAACCGTTTTTCTTGATTTTTGGGGAACCCTCCGAAGTAACCCTTCGGAGTCAGCTAAACCCCTTAGCAACCCTCCAAAGAAGTTAAAACAGCCCCCATAGAGAATTTAGCTTGTTTTGACGCTTCCTGAAGTTAATTGAAGGACCTTCCAAGTGAGGTTCAGAAATTTGAAAATTTTGGATGTACCCTCCGAAGTAACCCTCCGGAGCATATTAAGCATCTTATTGACCCTCCTTAGTAAATTTAAGGGGGACCCTCCGAAGTAACTTGGGTGATTAAGGTACCCTCCGAAGTAACCCTCCGAGGTAGGCTAAGTGTCTTAACAACCCTCCGAAGTAACCAACCGGAGTGACTTAAACATCTTAGCAACCCTCATTGTTAGAAACTTGAGGAAACCTTCTGTGGCAATTTGGGAGACGGGAAATATCCATTTAATAACGATCATATTAAGACATTAGGCGTGCTTATTAGGATCATAGGAGCCCATTTTGACCCGGAAAATCGTGATCAACTTTGGATTCTAGATCGGGTGTATCAGAAGTACCCGAACAAAATTTTTTTATTTGATTGTGATTTTGGTTGTGTGGTTGCCTTGAGCTACTTAATAGGAAAGTTCGGGCAATCCGGGAACAAATAAAGGAAGATCTTGGTGAGTGTATTAAGCAAATACACACTCACTTGAGAAGAAAAGTTGTTCCCTACTCTCGGCTACTTGGAGCAGTCCGGGTGTGGGGGAGCTTTTTCTTAGACTATAGAAATTTTCGATCAGAGGTTGCCTTGAACTACTTAATAGGACAGATCGGGCAATCGCAGGACACCTAAAAGAAGACCTCGGTGGGTGTATTAGGCAAATACACACCCACTTGAGAAGACTTTGTCCTGGGCTTTGTTCTTTCGGATCGTTCCGACTGAGGGAAGTCTTTTTCTTTAAAACTAAGTTTTATCGATCTGCTTCTGAGTCATCACTGCTTTTTACCAAAAATTGATTGATTTTAACAAAGCAAT